ATGGGTACGTTCTAAGATGGAGCTGGGAGGAACATGTGTGGTAGTCTCTCTCTCTCTCTCTCTCTCTCTCTCTCAATAATCTCTCTCTTAAGTCTCTCTCTCTCACTGTGGTCTTGTGAACTGATTACAGGTGTGGCTACCTGTGCATCTTATCCCATTGTTGGAGCATAAGTTTGAGTTCCATACCACCTTGGACATACATGGCTTTGGCTCCTTAGAGAAAGTAATAAGAAGGGGGGAAAGAAAAAAGCTCTTCTAATGGTCTCAGCTTCTGAGGGATGGTTGGATTTGTAGTTAGGAAGTTGTATTCCATGCATGTGTATAGTATTCATATGCCCCAATGTGAGTATCATTAGAACTTATTAAGGAGGTTTGGCCATGGAGTTGACACTTGTGTATGTGTAGCATTTGGTATTGAGATGCCTAAATAGTTGGTTCCAAATTTTTGTGTGTGGGTAATGTGCATGTGAAGAGTGGTCTCCTTTTTCTCTCTTTCGCCTAATAAGCAAAGCGCACATCTTTTCAAAGGTGATTTGGTGAAGAGATTGTATGCTATAAAATTCTTTGCTTTTCGTAGGGGGTCACAATCTTAGCTCTCTCATATGAAATTTGAAACTTCTAGCATATAATAAGGTTTGAAAAAATTTTTTTAGGACTTTGAGCCCAATCGATGTTACACCTACCTTAATTGCTTGATTTCATACCGAGAGTGAATATCTCAATGGTATCAAAGGGAATTAATTTTAGGAAAAAGTTTATATAAGGTTTCATACTATTGAAGTAAGGTGCACTTAAAAAATCCTACATTGGAGAGTGTTCCGGCATATAAGAGAACCCTGCAATTGATCATATTTATCTTGAGATGAATGGACATGAAGAAAAAACAGAATTTGAAATTAAAAAATTAGTGCATTTAATAATAAGTTATTTGGACAGTTTATTTTAAGGATTTTTAAGTGTTTCTTGATCTGTTCCATCTATATCTTTTTTGAAATTTTAAATTTTACAATTGAGGATAAAAATAGATTGTGTAGCAATCATAAGGTTCTTCAAGATTTTTGCGTGTTTCTTGATATCCTCCATTTGTATCATTTTTTTAATTTTTAATTTTGCAATCGAGGATAAAACGAGAGTGTGAAGCAATCATATAAGGTTTTTAATGCTGAAACGACATCTCCAAGTAAATTTTATAGGTTTGCTTTACTTCTAGATTTTATACGTTTGCTTAACTTCTACACTATAATGAGTCAACCTTACACAAACCTCACCTTTAATTTTATCATGAATAATGAACCTACGATACCTCTTCTACCCAAGTGTATGAGACCTCAACTTATGACTGTAGGATCCACATCCACATCTCAAGAAAATGGGAGAGTAATAATCATCTGGTTAGCCTATTAAAGAGAGGCTTTCTCTTGGAGGAGGAGCAAACCCTTTTTACCTGATTGTAGCCCGCTTTCTCTCTTGATAAACCTTTTTCTCTTCTAAACCTCTTCTACTTTCCATCCCCGTCGTTAGTTTTTGTTTAAATCCCCTTGAATCTCTCTCTCTCTATCTATTTGTCGACAAAGAATTGGTTTTCTGTTTAAATCCCTTCGAATCTCTCTCTATGGATAGAGAAAAACTCCACCAAAACAAAAACCCATTAGTTTTAGAAAGAAAAACTTCGACAAAGACAACACCGACGGTGTTCTATGGCTCAAAATCTTGATGAGCAAGAAAACGAGCCACCCCTTTTAAAATCAACATAAAATTCACAAAACTCCATTGAAGCTTCATTTTCAGGCGCCATTTTCAATCCGAAACAAGTGGCATGGAATCATGTTCATTCTTGCCATTCTGAAGGTCTAGGGTGTGAGTCCTTCATACCATTCTAAAGGACTAGGGTGTGAGTCCTACAATTTTCTTGGTGATTTTTGTAGCGATTTTGATGAAATTTTCAGTGCAATTTATGCTGAAATTTATGAGTACAGTGTTTCTACTACTTGTAATGGATTAATCATGAATCATTTGAAAAATTTGGGTCAATTCTTCTACAAAATTGTGTGATAATTGGCAATTTGGGGGTTGAGATGGTCTCTATGATCATCGTAGGTACTTGGTTTTCGTAAGTTTGCTGGTCAAATGTGTTAGCGTATGGATATCTATATTGATATACGTCACTATGGATACATACCAGTATAGATATGTTTATCTATGAGTATATAGATTAGGTGTCTAGGCGATTATAATAAGATTAGTTAGTAATTACATGTTGGTATCTATTTAGACCAATTATTAACCGTATATTTATACGGGTCCTGTATATTCTTCATCAATTAATATAAAGTGAGTTATCTATAATATTATGAAGTTCTAACATGTTATAATAGCTATAGATTTCTCGACCTCACATCTGACCTTGTACCTCAAACTAAGATTTGAGCTTGTACCTCAGATTTGTTCTAGAAATTATTTCATTTCAGTAAATCTCTGATCTGCCAAGTCGTGTTTCGACTCTCTGATCTGAGCCCTCAGTCAAGTCGTGTTTTGACCCTCCAATCTGATATATAGACTAGTGTTTCGACTCTATGCGATTTTCGTGGAGAGAGTCACTTGGCATCTAAGATCGCCGTGGATTGCTGCTGAAACAACCACAGTTGATTGATGGCATTTTGCTGCTATTTGTTATGTGGTTAAGGATCGATCTACTCAAATTCGTTGTCAAAACAGGTCCTCTATCACCTATCTAACTTTTGTTTCCACTCGGATATTTTCTCTCTCTTGAGTATTGGGTATTAAAACAGGTTTCAGAGTTTTGTTTGCATTGGTGTCACTCTGTCTTTTGCATTGACGTCTCTCTCAAACTTTGGTTTTATCGTTGTCTTTTGATACCTTGCATCGTCATACTTCTGGTGCAAATTTTTGTTGCATCGTCATCTTCATACCTTGCAAATTTTGTTTCACTGTCAAACCTCTACTGCAAACTTTGGTTGCATCAATATCCCATCGTCCCTTGCAAGCAATGCAAACTTCTGCTGTTTTCCTTGCATTGACTTGAGATAATGTGAACTTCTGTTGCTTCCAAGCATTAATAACCCATCATTTGCATTAAACTTCTGATCTTCTGTAGCACGCTCCAAGATGTCTTGCACGTTGGTGCTTGCTCTTAAAAAATAAAAAAAATATCAAGTTCATTAATTCTGGTTCCATCTTCAGCTAGATTTGCAAGAAGGGTAAGGAGCTGACCCTACATAGTGACTTGGACTTTTTGTTAAAGTGCTTTGACTTGGCTCTTGAAATCTCTATCAATGAGGTACGTGACGAACAAGTTAGAGAGAAAGTAACGCTTTCGAAAAAAAAACAACAAAAAAGAACAAAAGACCCTCTAAAGTGATCTTTTATAATTATCGAGTTTTGCATTACTCGATCTTGTATGATGAGCGAGTTCTCTATTATTCGATCCCGGATGTTCCGTGGGCGTGTTTGTTTGCTGTTGATCGCGTTTTTCGTTATTCGATTCCGTCTATTCTTGAGGCTATCCGTTCGTTTGTTCCTGAGGGAGGAGGCTGTTCCTGAGGAGGCCATATGTTCCTGAGGCTTGCTACTCTTTGTGCTTGTTGTTTAAACAATCTGAGCATGTTGATGCACCACTGCTTTCTGTGCTTGTTGAAATTCAATCCCGTCTATTCCTAAGACCATATGTTCCTGAGGTTTTCTGTTCTTCAGTTCCTGAGGAGGCCATCTGTTCCTGAGGCTTGCAGCTTTCTGTGCTACTTGTTCAAGCAATCCGAGCATGTTGATCCGCCATTGCTTTTTGTACTTGTTGTTCAAGCAATCTGATGGTCACGCCATGTAGCTGAAGACTTGAAGATTACAATTTAGTATTGTTTTATTGTTCAAACTCTAGCTGTTTTGTGTCAAAGCATATTAAGTTTGAGGGGGAGTGTTAGTGTATGGATATCTATATTGATATACTTGAATTTGAGGGGGAGTGTTAGCGTATGTATATATATATTGATGTATATCATTATGGATACATATATATGTATGTATATATCTCTTGATAAGATTAAGTGTTTAGGTATGAGAAGATTAGTTAGTAATTATCTATCCAGAACTGTTATTAGCCATATATTTATGTGGGTCTTGTATATTATTTATCAGTTAATATAATATACAGGTCTTGTATATTATTTATCAGTTAATATAATATACAAGTCTTGTATATTATTTATTAATTAATATTCATAAAGTTCTCTACAGTATTATGAAATTCTAATAAAATATAAGGAGCCTTTCTCGCTAGCTGCTGCCCAGTCCCCCATTCTCTCTCTAAGAGTGAGTCCATGAGAACTTCAGTTTCTTCTCAAACGTTTGACATATCCAAATGATTTTACAGCTGACACCGTTTTGACCTCTTTCATCATCAACCTCTCCTTACCATTTGTACAGCTCCTCCGATTTTTACATCTGGTCTCATATTGCTAGACAAGCTGACACCATTTGGATCTCTCTCACACCATTTGGATCTTTTCCTCTTTCTCATCATCTGCTTACCATTTGTGCAGGTCCTCCATTTTTTGCATCTAGTCTCATATTGCCTCTCTAAAATCCATTGAGAATTTCAGCTCTCTTTCTCTCTAAAATCTAATCAAAATTAGCTCTCTTTCTCTCTAAAATCTAATCAAAATTTCAGCTCTCTCTCTCTCTCTCTCTCTCTCTCTCTAGACCCACCACAAAAAAATTTGCATGAGGAGCTCGATGCAGGGGAAATTGGGTTACGTAGTCACTCTCTTATTACTTTTATGGGTTAATTTGGCGACCCCACATTCCGTTCTCCTCGAGATGTAGAAGGGAATCCTACAGCTATAAGCAAGGGTCCCATAGTAGTTGGGGTAGAGGAGGGTCTCACAGGATCATTATTCTCTTTTTATTACATTTGATAATTTTCTTTCCAGGGTAACCAAACGTACTATTTATGGAAAAGGGCCAGGGTCGTGTGGTAGCACCCCACATCCTGGTCACCATGATGTGGTTTCCAATCCCACCACTAACACCACTCAACTAAATACCTTCAAAAAGCTAATTTCTAATCTACTTGAAAAAATGGGTAAGGGTTTGTTTTCCCATTGAATCTTACAATAATATCTAACCTATTAGTGATCCATGTGCAAGTAATTACACTCCCGCATGCGCATATATTGTAGACCTACTCCCTTAGTTATAAGACCTGCTTATGAGGATTTTTTTTATTTGAAAATTTGAGAACCACCTAAGAGCAGCTAGATGATTATTTGCAAAAAGAATAAAAATTGAGTTTTGAGTTTTCTAGCGCATAGATCTCATCCTCCAAAAATTGGATTTTTTTTATGCATAGGGAGTGCACTTTGGAAATTATTTTATTGAAATTAGTTAATGGGTGAAATAGGTTACATCCCCAAATGGGTTCCAAAAATTACTTCTAGATTGAGTTTTGCCAAAGAAAAAAAAATGAACAGTGTCCTGTAATGTGAGTATGAGATCTTGGTTTGATCTATTAGGTTAGTATTCTTTGCTCTCCAATAGTTCATTTCTTGAGATTCCTTTGATAAATTTTTCTTTTTATTTTCACATGTAAAGTATATGTATGCTTTCAATTTAGTAATAACAATAGTTCTTTATCCAGTGGTAATAAGCCATAGAAAGGGAAAATTGAGAATTAAATCTCAATATTTCTAACCCATTATTGACCAAATATACCTTTATCCTCCGAGGGATTTTGAAGAGCAGTATGTTAATCCCAATGATTAAGTGATCACTTACCCCTCGATCATTTACTCTCATGAGTAAAACCTCCCATTTTGGAATAGTTTTAAGATCCAAAAATTGAAATAAAACCTCTTCAACCTAGTGATTAATCCTTTACAAAAGGTAAAAAATGCATTTAATATGCACCTCAAAAAATAATGTTCCAAGATAGAATAGAGGTCATCTAATTTTTGCAATGCCAGATCAAAGTTTGGAAGTATTGGAAATCCATATCTTTTGAAAATAATCATCAGATGATTAATCCTATGCATAGAAAACTAAGTAAAATTAAATATGTTGCATTTATCAGAAAGTGAGACTTGATTGTGAAAAATGAATTTAAAAAGGTAAAAAAAAGGCCCAAGCTTTGTGGTAAAGAGTAAAGCCTCGTCTCTCAGCTCACCGAAAATTGTAGTTCCGGCATCAAAGAACCTTCAAGTCAATCATCTTAACCTCGACAATCATGGTTATTAAAAGAATTTGGATTTCTAGACAAACAAATAGTGCATATTATATCTAGACCATTTTATTTTCAAATGTTTGCAAATCTGCAAGATCAATATTTGTACCATTTTTTAGCTTCATATTTCATAATCAGTGGTGGAAATTTATTTTAGAGCCATCATAGAGATTACAATGCCCAAAGCATTTTTTGAATGAGGTTTTAAGGTGAGGCTTTACTTTTTTTCCATAAAGCTCAAGCCACATAGAAACTGTATCCATTGGAAAAAAAAGTTTATATAAACTGTTATACTATAGAAGTATAACCGACCAAAACCCCATGGAAAAAGGATGAATATGAAAAAGAAAATCCTCCAATTGATGAACTTGAACTTGAGAGGAAAAATATATTTCAAGTTATACAAATATTGCATCTTGTAATGTATTATTTAGACCGGTCATTTTCAAGTATTTATAGATATGTTTGGTCTTCCATTTTCAAGATTTTCAAGTGTTTATAGATTTATTCGATCTGCATCATGTTAGAGCTCAAAATTCTATAATTAGGGGTGAAAATATATTTTCAAGCTATCACAAGGTTTTTTAACCCTAGAATTGTATCTTTCGACATGGTTGGTGGTGCGCCTCACTTTTTGTGTTTAAAGCCCGCCATATGCTACAAAGGACTATTTTAAATTGCAAAAATAAAAGGAAAAGTGTATAAAGAGAAAATTTACTTTTAATACTCACAATCACTTTTGTTTGTTAGCTTTAAATTAGGTGGTTATGGGTGAGTCATTGATTAGACTCAAAGTTAAAAATAATAAAATAAAAAAATTATCCATTTGTGACACTCTAAGCCATCCAATTTGACATTTAATGCCCAATATACCTCCTCGTAAAAAAGAGCCAAAAGCTATTATATTCCCATGGGAGTATATTGTCCATTTACTCCTTCGAGAAAGACACAATTAGGATTAATTTTGGGACCCCAAATATTGGGGACATAACCTCTTTAGCCTATAGATTAACTCAACAAAAAATCCTAATTGTACCTTCTATGCATTAGAAAAAAAAAAAAGCCTCAATATTAAAGAGAGACCGTACAATTTTTACAAGGTAAGATCTAAGTATCTAAAAATTCAAATTTCAATTTTTTTTTTTTTTTTTTTTTGAGAATTATCATCGAATGACTTCAAAGTGATTTCCAAAACTACAAATTGAAAAAAATCCTCTCAAATAGGTCTTCTGACCGAGGGAGTAAATATAAATTATACTCCCATGAGAGTATATTGTACACACTCTTCCCAAATAAAAAGAGAAATATCCCTATTTTAAATTATTACATCAAGGAAATAATATTTCTTGCCCAAAGATATTCTACTCCTATAGAATATCTTTTTATTGCCTGAGGTAAAACCCCAATTTTTGGGGTTGTAATCACTTTAACCTGTAGATAATCTCAATAAAAAATTCTTAATTTTACCATGTATGTATTTAAAAAAATTAATGTCTCGAAATCCAATAGGTATCATTTAAATTTTAGATGATAAGATCTAAGTATTAGAAAACTAAAATTTCACTTTTTGAGAATAGGCCTCTAAGAATTTACAACCAGTTTCCAAAATTTCGTATTGAAAAAAATCCTTTCTAATGAGGAATTCTGACCCAGTGAGCAGAAGTTAATTATGCTCCGGAGGAGTATGGTTTACGTGCCCATACTTCCTTCTTGAAAATTCAAATGATGCAGGTACGTCATCGTTTGTGGCGGGCAGACGCCATTGGAGCCCAGGAGATGACAAGAACATGCAGTTTCTCTCTCTAAACCTCCCTCTCATCAGAAGCTACAGACCCATCTATTCTCTCTCTTCCCTGCATTCTAGTCCCCATTCTCTCTCTACCAATACGCAACAAAGTCCCCAATCTCTCTCTCTATTGCTGCACTCTTCCATCAATCTCCCTCAGACTCTGCAAATTCTCTCTCAAACCTTTAGAGCAAATCACCACCAAAACAATCTTCTCTCTACCAAGCTCATAGGAAAGCTCCCCACCCCATTTGCTCTGAGATTTTTCCATCTCCTCCAAAACCCAACAATCTTTCCCTTTAATGCGATCATCAGAATCCTCTCTGAGAGCGCACTCTCTCTAGAAGCTTTCTCTCTCTACAAACTTCTGCTGCTGCATAGTGTGCGCCCCAACTCGTTCACTTTCTCTCTCCTCTTCAAAGCCTGTTCTGGCTTACCTGGACCCCAATTGGTGAAAGTGGTCCATGCCCATGTTCTAAAATTTGGAGGAGATGGTGATTTATGTGTGCAAGTCTCTCTGTTAACTTCTTATGTGAAATCAACTTGTCAGTTGATGTATGCTCGCAAAGTGTTCGATGAAATGCATGAAAGAAGCCCTTTCTCGTGGACCACCATGATTGCAGGCTATGCGAAAGCTGGCCATGCTCAGGAGGCTCTCAATGTGTTTGTTGAGATGAGAGAGAGAGGTGTGAAGCCGTCAAATGATACAATGGTTAGCGTGCTTTCAGCTTGTGCTAAGCTTTCAATGGAGGACTCTGAGAAGTGGAGGTTGGTATTCTCTCGAAAGCTTTGTGAGGGCGATGTTTCTCGTACTGCCCTTGTGTATTTGTATGCGAAGAACGGGGAAATCGTCAAGGCATGGAAGGTTTTTGATGGAATACTCGAGAGTGAACGAAGTGTGGTGGCTTGGAACACGATGATCAATGGGTTCGTGCATTCTGGCCTTGCAGATGAGGCCTTGGCCCTTTTCGATCGAATGAGGGCCATAGGGCAAATACCCAACCATCTCACCATGGTTAGTGTGCTATCAGCCTGTGCTAGAGTGCGAGCTCTGGAGCTAGGTGAGAGCATAACAGATTATGTAACTCGAATCATATCTCGAGAGATATTTCAAACTAATGCGATTCTCGCAACTGCCCTCATAGACATGTATGCGAAATGTGGCCAAATCGACAGGGCTCGATCGACTTTCGAGGCGTTGAGGAATAAAGATGTTGTTTCTTGGAATGCAATGACCATGGGGCTAGCCCTCCATGGACAAGCCAATGAGGCTTTGATGCTCTTCTCTAAGATGGAAACACTAGGGTTGAGGCCCAATGCTATGACCTTCTTGGCGACATTGTGTGCTTGTGCTCATTCAGGGCTTGTGGAGAGAGGGTGTCAATTTTTTGAGGCGATGAGCCGTAATTACAGAATCACCCCTGGGGTCGAGCACTACTCTTGCTTGGTCGACCTCTTGGGCCGAAACGGACGGCTTGATGAGGCTCGGGAAGTTATTCGATCGATGCCTATAGAGCCCAATGCCCTTGTCTGGGGGGCCTTGCTTGGGGCTTGCATTGTTCATTCAAGGGCAGATTTGATTGAAGATTGTCATAGAAACCTAATTGAGTTAGACCCCAAAAAGCCTGCAAATTATGTGTTGTTATCTAACTTTTATGCTTTTGATGGGCGTTGGGATGATATTGCTAATGTGAGGGTGTTGATGAAGGAATCAGGAGTGAGAAAGGAGCCTGGGTGTAGTTGGATTGAGAGAGGTGGCATTGTTCAAAAATTTATTCATGACTCTACAAAATTGCATTATCGACAAGTTCTTTGAATCATATGCAATAGTAGAAATGTGTCTGCCTATGGGGATGGTCTTTTTTGGATTCACTGAATATGCATCCCATACTTTTGAAATTTGATTACATAAAGAAAAACATGTGTGTGTGCGTATGCGTGTGTGTGCGTATGCGTGTGTGATATAGAGATCGCGGCACACCAATAAATGTATGTATACTGCGTCATTACTTAAAGCCTGTGTGATATAGAGATCGCGGCACACCAATAAATGTATGTATACTGCGTCATTACTTAAAGCCCTGTTTGAATGGCAGCCCTAAGGTTACTCTTCCCATAATGCACTAAAGGAAAAGCAATTATTTTTTGCCTGATGTTAAGCAGTTACTATTGGGCAAGCTTTCTATGTTTCCTTTATTGTATAGAACTTATATACTTCCTCCTATTCAACCATCCATTTTGAATAGATAAAGATAAACAATTCATCAATGAGAATGGTTCACTACTCTCCTTGGTTACATGTAATGAATTAGCCTATTAAAAAAGAGGATTGTATATAATGATACCATTTACTTTTGATGCAAGGAGGTCACAATTATTTGCAACCATCTGATGATGAGAAATCTGATAACTTGGGTTGTCATAAAGTTTGTGATTTTTTTTTTTTGAAATTTGAGCTTGATCAATGGAATAAATAAAATCATTCAATTTCGCATCAAATAGTCAAGATTAATTGTGATTACATTGTACTAAAGGTAAATTATCTCATTGTATAATACACTTTATAAAATGTTTTTTAGCCAACTAATAGAGATTGTTTATTTTAATGATAAGTTTAGATCTAGGCATTAGAAAGATATTTTCCTTTTCAAAACTTTTAGATAAACTATTATTAGAATAACAATATTAAAAAAAAAATAAAATAAATTTGAATTAGTAAAGGCCTAGACCTTGAAATTCACAAAATGTATTTTCCATATCCGTTGTTGGAGGGTATTTTCCATATCTACGACACAAATTAAATTTTATTTTTTCGAGACTGATTAATTAGAAAAAAAATATACTAACAAAATTTAAGTCCATACAAATGCCACAAATATAGCTTTCGATTTTGTATTACAATGAGATGGTGACATGAGAACGCTCCCCATATATGTATATGGCCGTAAGTGTTTTAATACTTGACAATTTCAGATTCGGATCATCGATACATATGCAAAATGGGTTGGGACCGAACCTATTTTGGAATAATATACGTCCTAGCCCGTTTCTTTTATAAAAAATCCCTCTTTTAATTTTTTTTTAAGTTTATCTAATATTTTATATTGTCTCGGTAAATCTCTATCCCATAAACCTCTATTTAATTTTAATTTTTAGTTTCTTTGGATCACTAATCTAGACAATTTGAATCCAATTGCCGATCCAACTAAACCCAAATAGGATTGAGGGTGGACGATCCGTCCTATCGAACTGTTTTTTTAAACATTTATACACGTATATATATATATATAATAAAGAGAGTAGCGATCCTATGTGTGTAGGATCCTAAAAAATCACTGTTAAAGTTAGTAGGATCTCTAAAAAAAAATTTATCTCACTAGTGTGGACTTTGACTTTTTATATTAACACATTTGGGTCCTATATAAGTGGGGAATAGTACGTGGGGAAGATCATATCATTTCTTTTATATATATATATATATATATATATATATATATAA